TTAAATGTTGTTTGAAAATTAATAAAAATATACTAAACTAAAAGTTTGTCTTTCCATTTATATGCCTTCACAAATATGCATCGTCATCATGTCTTGCACACTTTTTTTTCTTTCTTATCTTCCTTGGTGAGAATAAACCATTACTAGACACTTTTTTTTATATGCATGAATATAACTATGACGAGGCATTATATGAAGAACACAATACAACATGAGCTTTGCACTTACAATAAGAAAAATGCATGATCATACTCACGTATTCTTTATTTTATTTACAGAATTGCTATAGTATATCATTTAAAAAGTATTTTTATAAAGGTATTAATAGAAACATATAATAATAAGGTCTTTGAATGGCTAAGATTGATAACGAACAATAAGTTGATATGAAAATGTCGTTATTGTTCATAGGTGTCGTATTTGATCATCTATGAATAATATCTTTCATTCGTTCACCATCTTATCTTTCAATTCTTTTGGATATATGAATACCTCTTTTGCAATGATTTATGGAACTAAACCAAATATATACTAATAATTACAAGACTATTATCAATACAATAACTTAATAAAAATAGTAGCATAAATTTATTTGAAAAGATAATAATATATGATTACATTTAAGATTCGAAAATATCAACTCGATCGTTTATCTTCAATGCGTGATTCATATTAAGTTGTTTTATAAATGGTTTTCAACAAAAAGAATTCGAAGAAAAAGTCGTAGCAAAAGAACTTTGAATAAAAAATACCAGAATGACCGCATCAATGTATTATCAACATTTTATTTTTAGTTTTTTAAAACTCAAATGTATATGTGGCATAGTCATCGAAAACAACTTCTTTCATCAAATTATGACTGTTTTTCTTATTCGTCAGCGATCGATTTTTCGAACTGATTTAATATGACACTTTGAATAATCTGCAATATTCCACTGACAATGGTTTTAATCAAATACATATTACATACAAAAAAGTGCTAGTTTGTTGAACAAGAAAACCTTTCGAATGTAAGTTTCTTTTTATTGCCATATTTATATGTCGACTAAACCACTTCATCAATAATAGATCAGTCGTCCATTGCGATCAGGATTTGATGATCTCAGTCCAAATCCAGAGCCATGACAACAACATGAAATAAATAAAACTGCTAATATACCACTGCAACCGCCAGCCAAGGTTAACTTGATAAATAAATCACAGTGTTCGCAAGCAATCGGTTCATGAAAATACATGGCACCAAAAACGATCTGTACGACAAACACGGCCACTGTGAGGGTAATTAGAATACTAAAAAAACATTGCCCACAGGATACCATTTTGATTTTTATCTAATATAATCGAAGAAAATAGCATTTAGTAGAACTTAAATAATGATTTGTGCTATCAGTACCAATCTATTTTATTTTTATATATTTTTTCTTACTTTCGGAAAGAAAACATGACTTACCGTATGTTTTTCATCTTATTCGCTTGATTAAAAGCTTTCACTCCAACAATTTTAAAATAACACCTACCTAAAATCGACTACATCTTATACGCTAACGAGTATAATGCTACAAGAAAATTCTATATGAAGGAGAAACGACTGCAGAAAAAAGTGATATGTTGTCTTACAAGTAAAGAAAATGCACAACTTAATGGGGTAATTATTCTCAAACCATCAACAAAAATAAATTGGCTTTTTTTCAACGTTATAACCAATAGCGATATGATATAAATGAAGGAAGAAAATGTTTCTCACCTTTCTTTCTCGCTTACCAATATTACTATTAACACAAATGGTGAATAAGTCTTCAACTCATCCTTGATTCAGTCAAGTGAGCTTCTTACTATATCCACGACAGGCCAATGCATGTTTCTACTCAGTACGAAAAATAAAATAAAACAAAAAAAGTAGAAACATCAGTAATCAAATCGTCGAACTGCTTTCAGACATTTATCAAATAAAAAGTAAAAGTAACAAAGAAAAAAAAAATAACCATCTGTAATAAGAAACTATTTGCGTTATTATTATCACGTTTGCTCCTGGTTGAGAATAGAGAAAAAGATAAGGTTTTCTAAAGATAGATTAGTAACTAGCGTCGAAAGACTGTTTTTCTCTTGAATCCGACTAAGTCCTGTAGACTTTTACCTTATCATCAGCGCCGTTAACTATCACAGACTATAAACTCAGATCTTGATATAAGAGTAGATATAGGTGTGCGTGCTAGGTGAATACAGTATTCATACCTACACCCTGAACCATTTAGTGAATGTGAATCGGAGAAAACTATTGAAAGTGTTTGTCAGTTTAATCATAAAGATTTGTTTAATATTCAATAAAGTAGAAGATTATTTACAAATAAATTTAATCAAGATTTAGATTTAATAAGTATTTATTGTTGGGAACAACGGATAAATACTAAACAAAATGATTATTTTCATATTGATAACAAACATTATTTAAATAAATTTTCATTAGCTACAATAAATTCAACATATAATTCAACACTTTCCAAAGATTTTTATTATATGGTCAAATATTTATATATACAGAATTAAAAATTTCATATAAAATAGATCAATTATTTTATTGATAGTGATAAATTACAATCTTATTCTTATGTTCATACAATAAAACAAAGATAAATATAAAAATCTATTTCTTTATTAGAAAAGCTCTAGTCAAAATCATATTGTGGTTTTCCTTGACTATAATCTTTCAAAAATTCTTTTGCTAATTCTGCAGGAACTTTAACTCTTTGAACAGCTTCATTTGCTTCCATTCCATTAATCCATGCAGCGAGTTTTGGGAAATTTCCATCAGAATTAAATTCAAAATTTCCATCACTTAAGAATCGAAGACGTTCAAACCATGGCCATATCATATAATCGATCATAGCGGGTTTTGATCCACCAAAAAATATATTTGTAAGTGCTTCTTCATATGGTTTTAAGCTTTTATTTAAATCTTCAACACCTTGCTTTGGATCTCCTCGCATGATTTTAAAATATGCAGTTATGACCTAAAAAAAGAAAAGGTCTATATTGAAATAAAAGTATAAATTGTTTTTATTTACACCGCTAAATCTGTCAATTAAAACACGATGTTTAGCTTTTAGATATGGATCAATTGGTTGAAGACGATTTTGTGAATTTGTTTCATCAAGATAATCACTAACAATAAGTGATTCAGGTATAAATTT